ACAACAACAACAACAACAACAACAACAACAACAACAACAACAACAACTTCTTAATTGAACCTTCACATAAGACAAGGAACTTAATTGACAAGGAAAGAAGGAGAATGGGAAAGAGGAAAAGATGAGGAAAATGAGAAAGGGAAAAAAGGAAGGGAGGGAAAGGGAAAAAGATGACACACTTTTCATAACAGAATAACAAACAGACTTGGAGGGGACCTCAGAGGTCTTCTAGTCCAAACCCTTGCTCAAGCAGGAGGTTCTGTTTCAGACAAATGGCTGTCCAATCTCCTCTTCTGTATTACTATCACTATTAATCTTCTCATCACTCCTTATCGCCCATCCCTTCCCACTTGTGACTGCATGGCTGTAACTTTGTCGCTCGTATCCTTACGATTTATATGGACTGATTCCTGGTATGATTTGATCCCTTATTATTTGTACCCTATGACTATTATTAAGTGTTGCACCTGATGATTCTTGACTCTTGATGAAAGTATCTTTTCTTTTTATGTACCCTGAGAGCATTTGCACCAAAAACAAATTCCTTGTGTGTCCAATCACACTTGGCCAATAAAAGAATTCATTCGTTCATTCATTCATTCTTGAAAACCTCCAGTGATGGCGCAGTCACAACTTCTGGTGGCAAGCCGTTCCACTGGTTGATTGTCCTCATTGTTAGAAAGTTTCTCCTTCATTCCAGGTTGCTCCTCTCCTTGATGAGTTTCCATCTGTTGCTTCTTCTCCTGCCTTCTGGTGCTTTGGAGAATAAAATGACCCCCCTCTTCTTTGTGGCAACGCCTTAGATATTGATATCAAAAGGTACCAAACTTTTTGTGTTTTTGGTCTTGCAGGCACGGGATGTGCGCACCAACGAAGTGGTGGCCATCAAGAAAATGTCTTACAGTGGGAAGCAATCAAACGAGGTAAGTGACCCGCCCCTGTGGTGCCCAGAATCCTCTGACCCGTTGGCGGGTTCAAATCCTGCCTGCATTGGGGAAAGAAACCAGCAAGCCGGAAGACTTAAGGGAATGGGAAATGTGGGCAGCACATGAGGAGGCGGGGGGTGGAATCAAACTCCAGAAGATGGCAAGGAGGACATTGTGATACCGAAAGCTACGAGACCTTTAATATGTAGAGGAGAATTCTGGGAAAGATTGAGATACGGCGGGAAAGGTTTGTTTCTTTGAGCAGGAGCCCACGTTTTCCACCAATCCGAACCTTTAAGAAAACCTGTTTCTTTAAATTATGTCGGTGGTCTTTAAAATTACTTTTAAACATACATCTTCAATCATGAGGATGGATGGAGGGTAGATAAGGAGGGAGGGAGGGAGAGAGGGAAGGAAGGAAGGAAGGAAGGAAGGAAGGAAGGAAGGAAGGAA